TTTCCCTTCCCCCTTTTTTTTTTTTTTTTTTTTTTTTTTATTTCGCCGTATTGTTAACCCCTTGCGTTTCGACGAAGTTATGATTGGTTTAGCGGGACGTTTCGAGATTGGCCAATTACACCGACCGAAACAGCTTTGACATAGTTATTAGTGGACTGCGGGTTTTTCTGCAGATCCCTGATTTTGCGCGATAGAAGAAAGCGCCCGGAAATTCGTCTCGCCCGTTAAATATATTGTAACGATTTCGTAGTTTCTAAATGTTGCAGGAATGCGCGAGAAAACCGGCAACGCCGATTCTGTAAATTTGTTACGCTTTATCTATTTGATTTGCAAACCGCGTGACAAAATGAAAATGGTTTATTTCGACAATTTTTCGCGTATCGAGGTTAGTCAGGCTTTATTCAATGCCCCGTTTTTATGCAAATTTCACGGATGGGAAAATTGATGAGTTTCGTATTTCACAGGGGTTGTATGAAATTAAATATTCGGCTTTGGCGTTTCGCATCGCGGCCGTGTCAAAGTGTAATCTTTTATTTTACAGAAAATATCGGAGTTTGTTTTTTTTTGTGTGTGTGTGTAAAAGCGCATTCCCCCGGTGTTTTTTCTGTTTTTTTTTTTTTTTTTTTTTTTTTTTTTCATCAAGCTGATTAAATAACGCCCCGTTGGAAAATTCATTTGTGTTGAGCAGCACAATCGGAAATTTTAAATATGCCAGAGGGCTGTGAATTTTGTAGGAAATTTAGTGGTTACGCAAGGGGTTGTGCATAGACATCTTCTAGCTGCTTTTTAAACTACGAAATTTAAAAAAAAAAAGAATTATTAACTCAATCATTTTATTCGCTTTATTTAAATCATTAGTCCTCTATTGTCTGACCATTTTATTTTATTCATTTCATAGAAAATATCAAGCGTGTAACGTTTCTTTAAATTGGTCGTCTTCTAAAAGAATTTTCATTCAATTTTGTCGAGAGGAAAAAATTTCAAACGCTCAACGATTAATTATAATGCAATAAGAGACGCGTATAATGCAATAACAGAGATTTTTGACGATCTTTAATACGATTTTTAATTTTTTTATGGAGAGCTGCAAAATTCGATTTCATATATCTTTTTCATTTCGTCGTTTACAATTTCACGATACACAGAACATCCGTTCTCTCATAAAAAAATACGACAATGAAGGATTAATTATCACGAATATCTCACCATCGGAAATACGTATTCATTTTACACACCGAGGTCTGCTCTCAAATACACGAAACCATTAACAAAGGTATGTCGGCCAGTCAGCGAGCGCTTAAACGGGGCCAGAGGAAATCGTGAAAATCCGAATTATTCGAAAGTAGACTAATTTACACGGTTCAATCGGCAAACTCTCTCTCTCTCTCTCTCTCTCTCTCTCTCTCCGTCCAAAATCCGATCGATTATACGCGGGGCTTATTCCGGCCTTTCTGATGACTATTTGCGGGGAATAAACTGCCACCACGGTGGCCGGAACTGATTTTCACGATTAGTCGAATTTAATGCTTTAAATGTCAAACGAGCGGATTCGAGCGGGATGAGGGAGGGGGGGGGGGAGGGGGATTTTCAAAGTGCTCGTTCACGCATCGGCGAAATTTCCAACGGGATCGGCCGGTGTGTTCCCGTCATAACACGTCATCGGCGTGTTATTGCCAGGCTAAAAGATCGTCGTGACGTTTACGGGTTTCCCCACCGTAAATCCTCCGCCTTTCTCCACTCTCTGTTTCAGCCCAGTTTGAAATGTGACGTGCATCGACGATGCGTTTTCTTTGACAAAAGTAACACAGCGTGACGTGACCGTTCCCCGAACTAACTAAAAGATTAATCCTCTTGTTTGCAGTTTTTCACGTGTTTCTTATTTTTGTTTCTTACTAACAGATGGAACGATTAACCCTAACTTTGAAAGTGATTCTAAAGAGAACTCTTAACTGGTGTCGTTGGGGATCAAATTGTTGAACTCTGGAATTTTTCACTTTTTTTTATTATACATACATAAAGTGAAATTACAATGTTATAATTTGGGATATTTAATTAGTTGTTTATATCAGTAGTTTAATATAAATTGGTGTACGTGATCTAACGATACTGGTTGAGAATCAGCACTATAAAGACAGTTGACAAAAGTACCAGCCGGTCTTTTATAGTGTCAATGTTATCATAGGTGAAATTTTATCTATATGTCTACATTTTTCTTTTAGTTTAGAAAATAAAAATAAAGTCGAACGAATTTCGTTATCATTCAAACAAGAAGTTTTGTAATATTCTAATAAGCACGAAATTTCACTCGTGATGGCCCTCGAGGGATTAACATCATTCACGGAGCTCCTTTCTCGTTGCATGGAATTAGTCTGGAAACTACAATACTTGTTCTCAATATTTTTACACTCGAGAACGGGAGATTGTTTGATAAATCTTTTACCAAGAGAAAAAAGGAAAGGAGCTCCAGTGATTCACGCGCGAGGGTTGAACTACAATACAAAGAATTTTGCGACGATCATTTCTGTCCGATAATCATGAAATTATAGAATTGATCGAATTATGATCGAATGGGAATATCGGTACATATACGATGAAACAAAAACTCGACACTTTTGCGACTCCGCGAGACGAATATTTTAAATTACGATAAATTCGACGATATTCTCTCGTCGAAATAAAATTTCACGGGAGAGAAGCGTGTTTATCTCGAAATTTCAGAAAATCGCGCAAGAAAAAAAAGAAAAGAAGAAAGAAAGAAAAAGGAAACACGCCGAAAACGTCGCAAAATTCTGCGATTCGTTCCCCGTTACAATCACTCGCTACGTCGAAACGTTGCACAGAGAAGAATGTCCATTCTGCAGGGACTTTTCCAACTAGTTTTCTAGCAACGTTCTAACGAACCATCGAACGTTGCCCGCCCGCTGTTTGCCGGCTCGGAGACGGAAGTTGTTTAATTCACCGACATGATGAACGTATCAGCGGGCGCTAGGAAAAAGCGGCGACAATTCCTGCGACAGAAAGTCCGAATTCAGGGCGAACGAAAGACAATTAAAAAGCGACCGAGCCAAGCCACGGCCAAGCACACACGCGTGATGATATATTTTATGTCATCGTACGGGGTTATTCCTAGCCTCGTGTGGAAATTGCAATTTTCCCGGTCGGATTACGTTCTGAACGAGGCCAGGGCCATTCTCTCTCTTTCTCTCCTCCTCTCTCGCACTTTCTATCGCGAAGTTTCGCTGGTTTTAATCGTGTAACGGTTGTGCCCTTTGGCACACTGGAAATCGTGATAATTGATTCGAAAGCTTTTCCCCCCTTTCTTTTTTCTTTTTTCTCTTTTTTTTTCTTTTTTTTTTTTTTTTTAAACCGAGATAAATCGGGATACCACAGCGAGTCGGGTATTTCGCGTTGTTCCACGTAATTTTCCACCACCAGCAAACGAAGCACACTTCTTTTTGTTAGAGCTGCAGCAAACTTTGTTGCTGCTTTATAGTTCGCGTTCGATTAGTAGTAGTTTTTTTCATTAAATCCGGTATGGGCGAGAGAAATTGTCCGCCGACGTTTGGAAGATTTTTGTCGGGAAGTTTCGTTAGGTCAGAGTGTGCTGAGAAATTGGAATTATCTGGATTTAATTGGTAGAAAAAAGGAAAAAATATTTTTACTTTTAAACAGAAGAGAATATCTGACTTTAATTAATTTTCTAATTAGAATGTTCTTTGATTGGGAGGAAGAAGAATTTTAATTATAATTTTAATTGTAGACTTTTCAATTTAATTCGAAGTTCAAAAATTAACAATTGCTCGATATAATAGAGAAGTAGTTAAAAATGATATATATAAGAAATTTTAGTAGTTTTAATTCACTATGTAAGTGAAACGTGTCATATAAACAGATGAAAAACGATTGCATAAAGATGAAAAATAAATTTAAAAAAATGGTATTAGTGAAAAAAAAAAACCGGGAATAATATCAGGTTAATAAAATACAGGTTTTTTTTCTATCGACGAGTTAATAACTAAATAGCTGGGTAATTATCCTCTTCTATTTGAACTCGGAATATTTTTTAATGGAAATGAAATATTCTCTTTGCAACGTTCGCGACGGAGTAAAAATACGTATAAAGCAGGGGCTGAAATACGACTTTTGATTTCAGTCAGATTGCTAATACTGCAAGTACGGTGATTCTCCGTAAAAGAAATATATTCAAATTGCATAATCCAGTCCTCTTATGTGGAATATATAATATTAAAATCTTGGAAATCTCTCACGCTATTAATTCAAGCTTTTTATGTTCACAGTCGAAGTTGGACAAACAATTCAGTAGAAAGAAATGTGAACAACCATTAACCGCTTTATCATTTCACTAATTATTTCCGCAGAGGGTATTTTCTATCGGTTCCAACTCGGTTTTCTATTTTTCAAAATGCTTAAACAGCTTGAACGAAACTTCGTATTTCTCTGTCCGAGCAAGCTCTCAGAGTAAAAAGTAATAATCTCTTTCAGAAACAATGTCCCAGAGATTATGCCAATGTATCTTCTGTTTCTTTCACGAAGAATCATCCCCTACAACTGCAGGCCATTTTCGTTTTCGTAAATTTTCATTCATTTTTAACTTCTGACGTGTGTCCGTGTGTATGTGTGTGCGTGTGTCTGACGTGTATGTGTCTGTGTTGCGTGTGCGTTGCGAACGATTGTTGCATTCTCTTCATCGGCATGCAACCGAATCGGTTGAAGACCTTTCTCTTCACTTTGAAATGCCAAACGCAGATGATGACAGTGTTTCGGGTGTCTGTTGCAGTACGGCAGTCCCGGCTCGGGGTGGCGACATCTTAACGCGAAGTGGCGTTCGCCTAGGTATTATTTGTACATATATTATATATTTATTTACCTACATGTTATACATACGTACACATATATTACATATAAGATATATACGTATATATATATATAAAGTGAAGAAAACAAAAACAAAAAAAAAAAAAACAAAAAAACACCACTTAATTATCACGCATTGCTCGCGACGTTTTCACACAAATGGAATAATCTAATTTTCGCATAACTTGTGTATAACAAGAATCGACAAGCCAAGGACGTTCTTGACGAAGAGAAGCTTCTACCTTTTTCTTCTTTTTTTCCATTTTATGTATCAATTATTATGCCTCTGTCAATATGTGTCGAAAGAATAAAACGTTGTCGTTCTCCGGCGTTTGTTTCAATCCCAATCGCAACGCGACCGCGATAACGCATCACGTTTCATTTAAATTCGTCGAACAAACGATCGGGAATAATGAACCAATCGAGAGTGTTGTTTCTTCTTCTTTCCGTCTCTCCGTCTCTCTGTTTTCTTTTTTTTTTTTTTTTTTTTTTTTTTTCGTGAATTCTCTCCGCTTTACGTGTCGAACCTCCGCCTCGTTGCAGGTTGGAGAGCACGTTCACGAGCTGTACATAGTCGCTATGTTCGTTTTGCATGAGTATATCTGTACATCAGCGCAAATTAAACCGCAAATAAACCGTCCTCGCATACAGTATTTCGTCCACTCTCGTTTGTTTACCTCGATCATGCACCATCTGCCCAGTGATAATTCTCTGATAATGAGAACGGCGAGCCCTACGACAACCCTTAAATCAGTCTCCTCGATTCAGCGTACTCTCTGACTCATTGTCTTGGTGATCATTCGATTGATAATAAATAAGTTTGGATACAGGCAACGGGGGGGTGTTTGATCCGAGCGACGAGAAATGTAAGTATTACATGCAAGTCTATTCAGATCGTTAATAATTATCGTTTAAAAATCGAAGTTGGTCTTATTTCCCCGGAGAAATGTGTATAAGAAAATTTCTCGCGTCGAATGTTCCAAACACTTGTAACATATAATTTACAATACAAGTGGATTGCAGATTTAAGTGCAACTGCATTTTCAATTTTTGTGCGCAGATCTGAAGGAAATATAAAAACTTGTTTCTCCCCTTTTATCAGAGATTCTCAGAAACGCGCAAACATCTGCAATCTATTTACAACGTGTGTTTGATACAATAAAACAAAGTCAATTTATCAATGTCGAGTCAGTGTCGTCAACGATACCACCTGATATTGAACAATTTATCAGTTTTAAGGGTTGAACGTACGAATCACGCTGGCTCCGCGAGAACGTTCATTAGACGAAAGTTCGGTGGGCGATATCAACGAAAATATTTTCCCTCGGTGTCTGCATATATCACGGTGATACGCGCGCGAGCCCTTTTTATCGGCGTGCGTGCTCGCAAGTTGCCCGGTCAATTTCGAGATTGCACGGCGAGCACCACCCAACGCGAGTAGTTTAACTACATGCAGCAGTTGTGTCGCGCCAACCAAACCCTAGGTTTCACAGGAGGAACGTGTTACTCCATATAATAGCACGTTTAAACCTATCCACCGTGATGTTTTTTTAAAGCTGCTCGCCTCTGATACACACCGGGATGGTGGGTAATCGCAGGAGGAGAGGCGAAAACGCGTCGCGTTTGCTAATGAGCGGTCGTCCGCCTCTGTTCGCGAAAGATTCACCATCCGTCCGTTCGAAACGCGTTCCACCCGTAATTTCGTTCAGCCACTCCGTGTTTTTTTTTCTTTCTTTTTTTTTCCTCCCCTCGCGGAGTCGCAACTATTCACCAACTGGATCTTTGCTGCACGAAATTTATAAAAATAAATCGTATCGGTTTTTTTCGACGGCGATTTAACCTTTAGAGGTATCCGAAATTTTCTTTTTTTTTTTTACGAAAAAAAAACGATTTTATTTTTTCGTAAAAGAAAAAAAATTCGCACGTAAGCGTACAGTGGTGGATGGAAGGAAGATCAAAATTCGTAACATTTGTCTACGTGGCGTGTTTTATAATACACTGTGAAGTGAAAGTGATCAAAGTGACAATTATATTTAACCTAGAGTGTACATTGTATTTATTATGTTAAACGCGTGTAATTGTATTTTTGTAAGATTGTAGATTGTCTTTTAATCTCTTTTCTGTCCCGCACTGTATTATTTACACAATTTGCACGTCGTGTGAAATATGAAATTTTTCAAATAAATGCGAAATTTTACAAACGAAGTACCTCCAAGTTTTAAAATTTATATATATATTTTACGGGATATCTGTAAAAATGTTTGGCTTATACGGAAGTTTTTTTTTTTTTAGTACGAACAAATATAAATGCTAGAACCACTGAAATGATCAAAATGACCAATTTATAATTTTTTGCTAGAAATTTTCCAGATGTAGAACAGTGTATTTTTGGAAATTTAAATGGTTATATAAATACATAAATGAAAGCTTGCGTGCTTCATTGTATTACAAAGTTTTCTATTTTTTTATTTTTTATTTTAACGTCTTTAATGAAAATGTTGTGCTTTAATCATCGATAATTTTAATGTTAATTAGAAAGGCTCAGAAATGGTTTATACGATTGATCATTACACACATGTATAAATGCTCATTAATTAGCATTAATCATCAAAGCGACAGGTTTTTGTCGATCTTCTAAAGGTTAAAAACGCAGTACATGTCGAAGCTTTTTTAAAATGTTCGTCGCGGTTTTTCGTAAAAGAGGGAAAAGGGGAAGATATTTGATATTAATTCCGATTTCTAGCTTCAAAATGTGAACTAGAATATCAAGAGATTTGCGGATTTTCGAAGCTTTGGAATTTCAAATGGACGAGAATTTGGAATCTTCAAAAATTGTACATGTTTGGAAATACAGGGATTTTTGTAGATTTCTATTCGATGTTTGTGAACTTCATGGAGAGTTTGTAATTTGTAAATTCGCAAAAACGTTGATCCTCAAATGGTTTCTTGGAATATAATCAAATATTCCGAAAATATCAATTCATTTAGAAATTGTATAGGGTGATCAGAAAAATTCATTTAATCCTTTATACATTCTTATTTCCTGAATAATTACAAGATATGTAAAATAAACATATAAGTATTTTTGCAAAATTCTATTCTATTAATTATGTGGTATAACTTCCACATATTTTGACTCACGGTACAATGAATAAAGATAAAAAAAAAACCCAAAAATAGTTGATTTTATTCGTTTATACGCTATAATAATCTACAGTACTATGATTGTCGTTTAATTCTCAAATATATGTGGTAATTTATATTCATTTATACATAATAAAAACTTTGTTCTATAAAAATTTTTTTTTTTTAAATTAGCTGCTTGTTACACTAATAATATTTCATATTTTGTAGTACGAGTCTAATATAATTATGTGCAACTTATCGTGCAGTAATTCCTGCATATGTGTCGATCAGTGCATTAAGAAATAAAAATACGTATAATTTACTCTCATTTAAAAGAGAATTGAAATGACGAAAACTTCGAAAATTCACACGGTCTCGCGCAATTTAAAACTTGCCAAAGCTTCAGTCACATTTAAGTGAGGATAAATACCCGTGGAGCTCGAAATGCTGGAAAGCTTATCATTTTCTATCTTTCAACTGCATTCTGCCCACCTGACTGTTTATTAAATTATTTCGCCGCTCAATTATTACCTACCCCGACTAATGAAGCAATCTTCGTCTCGCCTTTAAAAGCTTTAACGTTTCAACGCTGAACAATTATCATTTCGAAGGCTTCTGAAAACTTGCAACAATCAGCGGATTAACGTTCTCACAGGGAAGCGTCTGAAAGCGTCTCTTTCGCTCTTTGCTAATTAAAATCCGTGCGTATAATCAACCCCTCTCCAACCAGTGGAGTTCCCTTTCGCCCGATGCAAAAAATTCTGCGCGAATCCGTCGAATTCGCGAAAATTTTGCACGTCGGTGCAACATTCACCGGTCGAGAATCTTGAAGCGCCACTATTTTTCAGCTTTGGTCACTCGCGAAAAATATCGAATCTCGACAAGAAGTTGCATTGCATGATTTTTTCTTCCTTGCCCCCCCCCCTCCCCCCGCGAGTTTTCATTTCTTGTTGGATACTCTTTCCGTGTGGCACTGACACTTCTTCTTTCTTTTATCTTTTTTTTTTTATATTTTTTTAAATAAATAACGCGTAGGTAGAAACCCTCGATTCTTTTTCACATATTTGTTCACTGCATCGTGAGAGTATTTTCTACACGTACTGTGATTAAACATTAATTTAAATGTTACTTTTTGGTAGCTCTCTGGTTTGCGATAGAAGAATTATTATATATAGTAAAATGGTTGTAAGTGTTTAACGAGTGTCAGAGGTATTGGGTTTAATGGGAAATTCTATCATTTCTCGTTGTAATGTTTTATTCCTTGTTTTTTATTGTCATTTTTAGACTTGTCAAAAATGTTTAAGTTTTCATTCAAAAAAAAATGAGAAAAAAAGGCAATAATTGCAAACTGGAATATTAATTCATTTTGAAACCAAGTATTAAATTATTGAATCAAAACTCAAAATTGGATGATTTAAAGTCACGAAATAATTTAACAAAGGACGAGTTTAAAAAATTAGTACATAGGCTCCCAAAACATCTCTGTATAATATTCCAGCCTAGTATGTTAATCCTACAAATGTAATGTAAGAATATTTGCAACAAAAAATGCAAAACTTTCCACTTGGTCCAATACTTCTACGTTAATAAATAATTACATTATGTGATGCGAGTTAGTATTAACTGGTTATGCGTACTGGTGAAAAACGTATTTAGATTAACTCGTTTGTTATGGACCGAGCAGTGAAATAGTTCAATAAAAGTTTGCTTTTGCGAAACGAAATGTTAAATAAAATAAAATAACCCGTTATTTTATCGAGCTAAAATTACAGGAATATAAAGCAAGGAATTACAATTTAAACAAAAAAAAAAAAAAAAAAAAATCGACAACGTTGTAACAAGTATTTCAGTTTCCTCAAACTTTATTAAATCTTAAGGAATCTGAGTGAGTGAAAGAAGCAAATGCTTGGAATTTCGGCTGCCACGACGTTAACAATAAATTCCATCGAAAAATTGATACGATACAATCTCACTCGTTTGTTATTATTTCGTTGCTAGAAATTGTTCCAATGAAATTCCAATTTCCGAAGAATCTTACCAAACCTCTGGAGATTAACCAAAGATTCTACTCTTCTAATGTTTGGTCCCTAAAACGGGTTAATACGAAATCGGTGACTAATCTCAACCGTGATTAACACTAGCAAAAAAAAAAAAAAAAAATACCGAAACGAGAGAGAAACACTGAAACGAACGATCGGACGATGGAAAGATATTAGGGCGTGTTTCAACGCCTCGGAAAAGTTTTAACGCGCGAATGGGGGAGAACATCGACTCGAGTTGCGAGTTAATTAAATTTATGTCGATCTCTCTCCCTCCCCCCCCTTTGATCGTTTGTCAGCCACGAAGTCGGGCTCGATTGTAGGTGGATTTGGAAGGGATCGAGGACCACGCCACGCCACGAAAGACGCCAGAGGATGGAAGAATAATAACGAGGTTTTCGGCCGGCTGTTTGTCCGCCGGAACTCCCGCTGTTCTTTCCTTTGCAAATGAACCCATTTGTATTCAGTCGTACGGTTAATTCGTCCCTGGTCAATATTCCACACTCCCTCTCCTCCTCTTCAACGCCTCGCGAGGTTCTCTCGTGAAATTCGCGAGACATTCGTGGAACACGGATACGAATAATCGGCAGCAAGATTATTTTCAATATGTTTATATACGTGCATATATGGGGTCTGAAGCCACCCCTCTTGCGTTTGACGTACGATACGATGCGTCGAGGCAAATTGCTTGTTTGCATTTGCGAGTTACGCCAAGAGAGATGAAGATATCCATCCCTTCCTCCCCCCTCGGCGTTAAATTCCCTCGAAAGTTCCAGTTTTCGAGGATTATTATACGTAAATGTTGAAACAGCGCGCGGCGCTGTTTGAGCTTGGAAGTCTGCCGGCTGGGATAAAGGTTAAACGACATGGTCATTGCGTTGGAAATGTGGAAGAGAGGTTGAATAATATTTATTTTATATCTACGCGATATCGTTTGGATTGTGCTTGGACTGGTTTTTTAATGTCTCTATTATTATATTGTTGGATATCGAGACTCGCACGTATCTGCGTACGTGAATACGAGGACTTTTTTTGGGAAACTAGGGTTTAAAGTCGCAGTGAAAAGAGTAGTATTTATCATTTTGTTGGATTATTCTGCAGTGTTTACGTGATCATTCGTAAAACTTGGAAAACACTTGAAATAGGAAATATTGTCATCTTAACAAAGTAATATTATTGTACAATATATGTGAGAGTAATTTTTAGCAGAGTAGAATGTAATTGTTTGTAGTAGTATTTCTCTAAATAAATTGTAAAATAATTTGAGATAGGGATCGAATTATGTGGTCGTGTAAGCCATTTAAATTTTATCACTGTTTCCTGTAAATTTTAGTACAATACAATTGTATCTTTTTCGCATACAAGCGTTTGATTGGAATGGAATAACAAAGTTTTTACATTGACATGAATTTTAACTAGCTTTCAAACTTCAAAATTAGAATTTAGACCAAGACTATTGTTTGTGCTACAGTATAATTCGTTTTGTATCTACGTTTAATCTAATTAATTCAAAACGAGTGTATCAAGACAGATAAATTTTAGTTAATGTGATAATAAAGCACGGTAGGAAATTACCATAACGAGTGAAGATAAAGTTTACGAGACTACTGGCACTTGAGATTAGGCCAATCTTAAGATAACCAGGCATGGTAGCAAAAACGAGAGATTCTAAATTTGTCAGTCGAATTTCTCAGTGTGGAACTACCATTTATTTAAAACGACACGAAAATTTAATCGAGTTCTCAAGTAAAGAGGCGCAATGAAATATATTGGCATAACAAAAGCATATGGTTCCAAAAAAATAAAATCACCAAAACATTGTTGTTCATCTCAAAGAATTATCGTACTTTTATCGACAATAATTTAAGTTTTAAAATGAAAACTTTTATTTAAAATGGATTAAAAAGTACACACGAATAAAATTATATAGTTCTAGTACAAGAATTAAAAACAAATCACCTTACCAAAATATCATAGATCGCACTCCTCTCGCTTCATCGTTTCTTTCACTCGTTTTACATTTCACATCAAACTCAACAAAGCAGCTCCTCCCCTCGAATTCTCTCTTTTTTTTTTTTTAAATTATATTGCGCTATATTTCTGAAATAACGGCATTGCTGCATTAATACTACGCAATTAACCGAAAAGTGGAAGCACAGAAAACAATCGCCGTACGCAAATCCAGAAAAACAATTCCCCTCAAAACAGTTCTCGAATTCTCGATCAATTTTACAACATGCCGGGAAATACCCAGAGTCCACACGTGAAACATGAAAGCGAAATAACCGATATAGATGGACTAGTTAAAATTGCAGGGAAATCCATTAAATCGTAGTCGAAAGGTTATAACGTTCGTATAATTACAATCAGCGGGCCGGGTGTGTTTCATTCTTCACACGCACAAAGATACCGTAGGGCCGGGGAAATTCACCAGGTTTACCTACCCCCGGTGATTGATGCACGCCGCCGCTACTTTGTCCCAGCGAAATTGGCGGGTAAACGCGAGGTCCGGCGGGAAAAATGGTGGAAACGGCGGAAAGACTACGGGCGATAGAAATTCGAGCCAATTTATTTGGCAATTGAAGCTTCAATTACTTTTCCAGCCGGCCTGCGTACGGCTCAGTTTTTTCTTCATCACGTTTCTCTTTTTATTTTTTCCCCTCCTCCCTCTCCCCCCCTCTCTCTCTCTCTCTTTTTTTCTCCCCCTGATTTTTATCTTTTGTGTCTCGCCAAAAGCTTCCCTCGGTTTTTGTCCTTCGTCAGGTATCGTCGACGACCATTTCGCCTCATCTATTTTGGATTTTACGCGGCCTTTCACGCTTCCTTTTTCCTCTCTCTTCGCCGCGGGAAGCGTGGTTTTTTTCTCTCTCTCTCTCTCTCTCTCGCCAAATTTCCCATCGCTGGATATTAAAGTCTCTATCACCGTGCATACGCGCATTCATCTCGAGGAATTTCACTCTCTTGTTTCTCACAGTTCGCGTTCATTCGGTCAAGCCTTCTGGCGCTACAGACGAATCGATTCGTGTCAATCCAACTCCTGTATCTCGTCTCGTCGTAAAATCAATTGTTTTCGAATGTTTTGGGTGTTTTGGACACGTTCGGGGTAGATTGCGAACGTTCGTGCGATTTTATATCTTTGGGAACTTGACGCTGGTGGTACCGAAAGCGATCGAAATAACTTGCTTCGAATTTCTTCGGCAGAAATTTCAAGACGGTGTACCTTTAGGGATTCGAACTGGACTTTTTTCCGCTTCATGCGTTGTACAATTTTTTTCTGCACTTTAATTTTTTCGTTTCGACTTTTGTACTTTAGTCGGTGGTAGCGTTAAAAGTTGCTTTATAGAATAAATATTGTAATAAACGCTGTTAAAACTTTGGTATATAGTTTGGTATATAGTTTTACACACGGTAGGTGGTTTGTAGATTTCTGCGATTCACATATGTACAAACAACGTTTAGCGAAATATTTGTGGTTCATTTTGTTCTTTTTTCCAAGTATTTCAATTTTTTTTAATTTTCCACAGATTTAGAAAAACAAATCTATTCTTCTTTCAAATTTCCCCTGAAAAAGGAATTATTTTTTGCTTTTATATTCGCTTTAAAAAAAGAAATCCAATTTTCTAAAAAAATTGTCAACAAACAATTCTCAGGGTTAATTGTTTTTACGTAGGTCCAGCGATAAAAAATTAAACTTTTCCAAAACTAAACTATTCTCACGAAAATAGATCGTTCATATTTATGCGAAAAGAAATCCAAAAAAAAATTAAGAAAAAAGGGATTATCGTCAATTGATGATACGATGAACAAAATTGGGCCCAGGTGAAAAATCGCACGTGAAAAAGTAACGTAATTTGAATATTTTATATTGATTTGCACTCTTGCATCAACAATGAATGATTCCTCAATCTGGCGATGGAGGAAGATGAGATTGACGAAGATCGTAAGGGTAAATGAAATGGAAAAAGGATCCACGGAGGAAAGACGATCTAAACGGACTTATCACGTTGCCATTGTTGGATACACTTGCGCCGGTCTATTCTTTGCTCGACTTGGAAACCTGTCTGGCTTGTTGAAACTTCCTGCTTCCTTCCTCCCTTTCAGCTTCGTGCTCGGTGTCAGCAACACTTAGAAGTCGCCTGGAATTAGATATATTTCAATAGCGGGGTAATATAGTTCTCGCTTCCCCTCGAAGCTGCGTGTAACTTGAATTAAAATTCATAGTAGTGAACTTAGCGGTATCCATCCGTGCCGGTGATCGAGGCAGTCGCGGAATTAATTAAAGAAACTTTTACACAAAATGGTACGAAGGTCAGACTAAAAAAAGACAGAAAGTTTCATTGGGAATTTTAGTTTTAGTTTCTTTTAGTTCTAGAAGTTTTAGTCTTAGAAATTGTACAATTTCTGGAAGAAACGCGTCTTCTTTTTTGGGAAGTTTAACTTATTAATCAAATCATTAGAATCGTAAGGATGATCGAATTTAATATTGTTATCATAGAACAAGTGAGTAAAAAGTAGTAAAATTAATTCTACTCTTTGCACGTATAAATATAATTGTAATTTATTTCAAACAAAAAATGACATAGTTTCCCAAAAAAGAAAGAAATTAAGAATCCGAGTTAATTCGTCTTCCTCGATTAATATATTAATCACGTAATAATATTTCACGAATTTTATGTTTGAAATAAGAATCTGCATAAAGACTGAGGAGATAAGATTGATGTTGCAAGTGTGAATTGTAATTTATTTCAAACAAAAATGACACAATTTCCCAAAAAGAAAGAAATTAAGAATCCTAGAAAATCGACAGGTTAATTTCTTCGATTAATTATATATTATAAAAATATTTCACAATATTTCATGAGTTCTATTATAAAGAGTTTTATCGATGTTGCAAACGTACTTGTAATTTATTTAAAAAAAGAATGACACAGTTTCCTGAAAAAGAAAGAAATTAAGAATCTTAGAAACTCGACAGGTTAATTCTGATTAATTATATATTATAATATCATTTCACGAGTTTTATGTGCGAAATAAAAATGTACATGAAACGAGAAGACAGGATCGATGTCGCGCTGGTTACGCAACAGTCTCTATGCGGTTTATGATCGCAGAAATGGAGTAGGCTAAGCGATTCAGTTTGCGAAATTGATCTAGGATAAGCCAATTCTTCGTCGCAACGAGATCCTGTAATCGAAGCCAAGGATTTTAGCTATAGCCTGTTCTCTATTATAACCTGTAACTAGTTCGTTCTGCCACGTTTATCCCTACGACTTATGAAAAAAAAAAAAAAAAAAGAAATGTATGAAAACAACGAATTCAGTCACATGACAAAGTATCATAAGAAAAAGCCAAAATTTAATTAATATTAGTGGACATTGTCACGGCGCGTTTTATTATTTTCATCGTCTGATAAGTTTTTGTATCGTGTCGCTACATTAAATTTCCGGTTCTACAGGATTATCTGTATATAATGAAACCTCGGTTAATGGATGGTCCGCGATAAGTTATCATTAGACGAGCCGAGATATTCAAGCCATTCAAGCGAGATTGTCCTCGTGCTAACCAAAGGAATTAAAAATTCACCCTTAAACTAGCACGGTGCATGGAACTGAATAGTCTTGCACAATATATATATACAATCTTTTCATCTGCGTGTCCTTTGATTCTAATTTCTCTCCTCGTTCTTAGTTAGGATATATTTCTGCGAATCATACAATTAGACGTCAAAATGTAAAGAGGTCGTGATTTCAGAAATTTATCGAAAGAACAATTTTATCAATTCTTTCGACGATTTACCAAGTGCAGCGGCAAGTTATTGATACGTTTCAATTTAGAATCTTTCGCTTAAATATATTACATTTTGATTGAAAATATTATTTTAGAAAATTTTTATCTAATAATTAATTCTTATTTATAAATTTTAATAAGAGTACACAAATATCATTTAAGTATATCTTATCGTGGATAATAACAAATTTCTCTAAAAAGATTAAAAATCCGCCATATTATTTTAATGATTCAATTGTAACTATAAAAAATTTATTCTTAAATTAATATAATAGGGTATCTAATCTTAGTTTATTATTATATAATAATTAATATTATTCAGTATCGTCAAAGTTAAATAAAATTCCTTTTATTTAAAATCGCCGATCACGCGAACTTTCCCCCCGGGGGGAAAGACAGATAGTTTATACAATTGGCGTTCGCATAATGGGAATTCACTAGTTTCTCCTCCCTACTCCCACCGATTTCTCGCTCGATACAATGGGAATTCAAGTTCGAATAAGTGAATTTAATCAACAAGAGTGCGTTCGAGCCGAATGAACACGATGAAAATTCGGAGTTCAGAACAGACGGAGTTCTGCTGCGTAGCTGAATATCATACTGACAATGACGCAGTAAGTATGAAACACAAACGCGATCCGAGACTTTCGTCACACCTGTCTCCAAATCGAAGTTAAACGAAGTTTCGAGCCGTGAATGGACGCCAGCATCGATCCAGCAGAAATCCAAAAGAGGAGGGGGTACGACTGATTGTCGCGTGAAAGGGTTGGACAGGTATCTCGAGACAGAGAGGCACGAGAAGCAAGTGAAAACAAGGTAGAGAAATTATTTATCAGAGCGAGAGGATCATAGGGGCCTCGTAATTCCATTGTACTCGGCGATGTAGTCGGTCGAGGGCCGTGAAACGTGGGGTCGTCTCCGTTTCGCCTGCATGGGGGGCGCGCGGCCGCGTTGATAATTAATTCGCCGTAAAATAGGGAACGCGGAGGACCACCGACGCGGGTTGAGGGCGCCGGTGACGGTCGTACATCGCGGCGAAAGCTGTAATGCAAGGTTATTAACGATCCTGTCGTCGTGGAACTCGACGGTCTGCGTTTACGTAACGACGCAGCCAGCGTGCCTCGATCCGATAACACGGCTGTATCCACGTCAATACATTCATAAACGATCGTGTTTCGTTCTTCGATTATGTATTCTGTAATATTCGTCGAATTAGATTCTGCTACAGAGCTTTTTACAATAATATTTACTCTATAATATTTTAAATTAAAATATTATAAATATTTTAGCTTTTTACAATAATATTTATTCTATAATATTTTAAATTAAAATATTAAAAATTTTTATAATATTTTAAATATTATAATATTTATTTTATATTATTCCAATATTTATTTTTAATTTACGTATTCTATGTTTCGAAGTTTCTATGTCTGTTCATTTCTGATTTTCATATTTATTTTAATTTATGCGTAGCAAGCATCGTTTGCTTCGATTGATTCTTAACAATTGAAAATATATTTTCCGCTATTTTTCTTTTTCTACTTTTTTCATTTGTCGAATTTCTGTCAGAGAGATTTCTACTCTTTTAAATAGACATATCACGAGAGTTGACAAGAAACCATAACAATAATATTTTTATATTATTTCAATATTTATTTCCAATTTACGTATTCTATATTTCTAAGTTTCTATGTCTGTTCGTTTCTGATTTTCATATTTATTTTAATTTTTGTGTAGCAAAATCATCTTTGTGACGACCGTTTGCTTCAATTGATTCTTAACAATTGAAAATATATTTTCCGCTATTTTTCTTTTTCTACTTTTTTCATTTGTCGAATTTCTGTCAGATTTCTATTCTTTTAAATAGACATATCACGAGAGTTGACAAGAAACCATAACAATAATATTTTTATATTATTTCAATATTTATTTCTAATTTACGTATTCTGTATTTCTAAGTTTCTATGTCTGTTCGTTTTTGATTTTCATATTTACTTTAATTTATGTGTAGCAAGCATCTTTGTGACGACCGTTTGCTTCAATTGATTGAGAATATATTTTCTGCTATTTTTTTCTTCTTCTTTCTTCATTTGTATTCAACATCACCACTGTTGAACTCGTTTTTAAAAATACACGTGTCGCCACACGATCGTTTGATTCTTCGATGGTGCATTGTGATTCTGTGAACATTTGTCGAATTGTTATTCTGTAATATTCGATTCTATTCGACTCTTTGATCGTATTCTGTAATATTTGTCGAATAGTAAAATTTTCGAATCTTGCTTGCGTTTATTGGGAATTTCAAAGAATGGTTTCAAAAATAATTACACGAACTTTGTCTTATCTTGTTGCTTGTTACGTTTGCAGGATAAAATGTAAAAATGTCGCCCGTGCCAAGTAGGACGAACAACTTTTTAACTGTCGTTTACGTTATATTAGAAATTTCGTGTTAGTTGAACATTATTAATTTCAATGGTCAATGAACATAATCTGCACGAGAGAATGAAGCAAATAAATCTTACTTCTTTTTGAAGCAAAAAGTGAAAAAAAGAATTATACGAGCTACGTAAATGGGATTATTTTAATCTTTGCGGACTCTAGAAATTTTAAAATTTTCAACAAAGCTGCAGAAATTGATTCTTCAGAATTGACAGAGAGCGAACAAAGGTGTACAAATGACGAGATGAATATGTAGATAATTCTCAGAGGATATCGAGCAATACGAGTCTGCCTGATCATTGAGAAATTAGATGATGATGTAGGTCAGTGTAGAAATTAAACCCAAGGGGAGAACAAACTCCGCGTCTGAATTACTCCTGCGTCGTGGGTTTTCGACACATCTGCGGTAATAATACGCAGTCTTTCTGCATTCTGGAGGATCTATCTTTCCAACGGCATTAATTAAAATTTCTACAGAGGGCAGGAGTTTTCATCAGCTTGCGATAGTTTTTCTATTCCAGTTCCACGTGGAAAATTTAATTAACGTAATTAACGAGTATCTTTGTTTCTTATTGAATTGTACGTCGTCTCGTTGCCCGCGGAATAGCTACCCAAAACCAGTTTTACAAATGTCTTTTGTAGTCGCGAAGACAAAGTTTCTTTGCACCGAGTCTAAACCTAAATTATAGACATTCGTTTCATAGTAAAAATCAATTTGATTGCAAGTCTATCACAATAGTAATAGTTACATAATTACAAATCTATTGTAATTTGACTATCAGAATGTGAATTGATCACGTTTTAATTTGAAATTTCGCTCGAGTCACTGGAAACTGAAGATATCTCACTGTAGCAAAATTGCAAGTCTTCGATTTTCCTCCATCTCATCAAAACTTAAGAAATACCT